AAGATGACGTTTTGCTGAACAGGCGCCATTACTCACAATCCACTGTAGTGTGAAGATATACGAAGACTTTCTTCGTCTTTACTGACAGTTATTTGTTCGTAGATTTGTGCTTTTTAAATTGGTAACTATTTACTCTTTAAAATGTTTACATTACTCGGAGTAATTGCTTTAGTCCTGCGGGGAAGGACAGAAAACAAACCCCACTCAGATCGAGAAGAACCCGTGGAGAAAAACTCTCCACCCACGATGACCAGTGATGGTAAACCTCATACCGATGCTATAAGAACACCAAAGTCTGCATATAGGGCCCTACACTCGCTTTCGTGGAAGTTTTTTATTATTAATTTTAAAACTTTATTTGTTAAGTTTTGTTAATCAGTTTTATAAAGTCTGTAACATACAGTCAATGTGTATCTAAAGTCGATTTAGTATATTTCTTCAGTTATTCTCCATATTTCCAAACTAGCACGTCAAGTTTCTGGACAAACTTTAAACATTTAGATCAAGTTTGCCTGTATACAATGTTTTTATTATTATTATTATTATTATTTTTTAGCTCAGGACAGTTTTCATCACAACTCATGTGCAGGAGATCTTTTGGTTTTATGCCTCATATATATGAAATGAATGAGCAGTATCTAATTTAATCAGCTTCAATCTGTATAGTAGTAAAGAGGCTGAATAAGCTGCTTTGAGAATTTCAATTCTGATTTAATAAATATACCAAAGTGAAAATCTGTAATGCAGTACAGTATAATAGATATTGTATTACAAAATTCAGAAATGAACTCAACATCCTACCGTTTACTACATACAGTAGCATACAAGTTCATACTGTCATGCATTTACACAAAACTGAAATTCATTCCTTTAAGCTGAATTTAAGGTGATGTTTTATTTATGATGAAATGACATGGCAACTTAATTATTTACTAATAGGAGCTGTCAAAACACAAGAAGCATGACAAACACATCCATGCATGTTAAATTTACAAAACTAAACCTCACATAGTCACTTCATAATTGTTATCATTCAATAATAAGGCTAAATGATATTTCATTTATAAAATGTGAACAAAACAATCCTTAGTTATTACATATTATTTCTCTTTTTAGGTCGAGATATTGGTGATAGGACTGAACACCTGTCATTGGAGGAACTAAGCACCAGTGGTTGTCCAGTCCATGTTGACGACCACAGTGATGTCCTTCATTCTCCCATCACTGCACCGACCCTCCAAACTCCAGACCATGCTGCAGCTCAAAGTGTTGACGACGTCCCTACAGCCTGTGCCACGTCCGACTGTAGTGAGGATGATGTCCTTCAAGCTGCAGTGCCTTTGCTAGCTGACTTGTGTGCACGTGTTCTTCAGGACACTGAGCCACAGTCATGCCAGCAGCAGGATATGGAGAAAACTGTGACTGGTCAGTTTGTTCACTTCCACATTGAGTAATTCAATGAACATGCACAGATTAGACGGCAGTTTAACAGCAGTGTAATAATAAGTTTATGAGAAAAATGGCAAAACCTAAAAGTGCTTCTCTGTTTTGTCAATTGTGAATAATAACAGATTAAAACATTTGAATAAATGCCAGCCTGATTAAAATAATTAAAGAACTGGAAACACTTTACTTTAATGTTTGATTAGTTAATGTTATTTAATGTATTTGCTAACTAGAATTAAGAATGAAAATATCTTGAACAGCATTTGCTGTGAACAATGACAAATACTTACATTTCTTACCCATATTCAAAAAAGAGCAAGACAAACAGTTAGAAAAGACAATCAGCTAAAAAGTCACTTCAAAATGTACAGCTTGCATTATTATGGCTAATTAATCTCACAATTATTAAATGTGAATAAAACAATCCTTAGTTATTACATATTATTTCTCTTTTTAGGTCGAGAAATTGATGATTGGACTGAATACCTGTCATCGGAGGAACCAAGCACCAGTGGCTGTCCAGTCCATGTTGACGACCACAGTGTTGTCCTCTATTCTCCCGACTGCAGTGAGGATGATGTCCTTCAAGCTGCAGTGCCTTTGCTAGCTAACTTGTGTGCACGTGTTCTTCGGGACACTGAGCCACAGTCATGCCAGCTACAGAATTTGGAGAAAACAGTGATCGGTCAGTTTGCTAATTCACCATTAAGTAATTCAATGAACATGCACAGATTAGACGGCAGTTTACCAGCAGTGTAATAATAAGTTTGTGAGAAAAATGGCAAAACTTAGAAGTGCTTTTCTGTTATGTCAATTGCGAATAATAACAAATTAAAACATTTGAATAAATGCCAGCCTGATTAAAATAATTAAAGAACTGGAAACACTTTACTTTAATGTTTGATTAGTTGATGTTATTTAATGTATTTGCTAACTAGAATTAAGAATGAAAAAATCATGAACAGCATTTGCTGTGAACAATGACAAATACTTACATTTCTTACCCATATTCAAAAAAGAGCAAGACAAACAGTTAGAAAAGACAATCAGCTAAAAATGATTGTACAAAATTAAGGAGCACTCTGAATATTTATTGATTTCCTTCATTGACAGAGATGTGTTTGTCAGTGCAATGTTTCAGTATTCAGAACACGACTGAGCATTTACATCCAGCAGTGTCACTTTTTCAGTGTATGTTTGTTTGACTGGGTTTTACATTTATAATGGTGGGCTGCGAGACCCCAAGTAGTCACTTCAAAATGTACAGCTTGCATTAATATGGCTAATTAATCTTACAATTATCAAATGTGAATAAAACAATCCTTAGTTATTACATATTATTTCTCTTTTTAGGTCGAGAAATTGATGATTGGACTGAATACCTGTCATTGGAGGAACCAAGCACCAGTGGCTGTCCAGTCCATGTTGACGACCACAGTGTTGTCCTCTATTCTCCCGACTGCAGTGAGGATGATGTCCTTCAAGCTGCAGTGCCTTTGCTAGCTAACTTGTGTGCACGTGTTCTTCGGGACACTGAGCCACAGTCATGCCAGCTACAGAATTTGGAGAAAACAGTGATCGGTCAGTTTGCTAATTCACCATTAAGTAATTCAATGAACATGCACAGATTAGACGGCAATTTAATATTAGTGTATCAATAAATGGTTTGATTAATTTACGCTTCAGTTAGGGAGAAATGTTTAAAATAGCTTATTTTTTATGATTATTATTTTATTTAAGAAAATTAAACATTTAAAACTGATTTAATAAATGCCTGCTTAGTTTCAAAATTGGGAACACTTCACAATAATGTTCCAATAGTTCATGTTAGTTAATGTATTTATGAAATAAGAATTAAAAATACTTGCACAGCATCAACATTTACTAATGTATTAATAAAATCTAAGGTTATTTATTTAAAGAGATGGTCCACCAAAATTATAATCTTCTATCATTTATTCACTCTTGACTTGTTCCAAACCATGTTTTGCTGTTTTGTTGAACAGAAAAGAAGATATATTGAAGAATGTTGAAAGCCTGTAACCATTGACATCCATAGTAGAAAAAAAATACTATTAAAGTCAATGGTTACAGGTTTCAACATTCTCTGAAGCATCTTCTTTTCTGTTAAAAAAAACAAACAATAAAAAACTCTGAATTGTTTGGAATAAATCAAGGGTCAGTAAATGATGACGGAATTTACTACTGTATTTTCTGTACTACTGTACTACTATAGTTGAAGTAAGAATTATTAGCCCCTCTGAATTATTAGCCCCTCTGATTATTTGTTTTCCCAATTTCTGTTTAATAAAGAACAGATTTTTTTCAACACATTTCTAAACATAAAAGTTTTAATAACTAATTTCTAATAACTGATTTATTTTATCTTTGCCATGATGACAGTAAATAATATTTAACTAGATATTTTTCAAGACACTTCTATACAGCTTAAAGTTACATTTGAAGGCTTAACTAGGTTAATTAGGTTAACTAGGCAGGTAAGTTAGGGTAATTAACAAAGTTATTGTATAACGATGGTTTGTTCTGTGGACTATCGGGGGAAAAAAGTAGCTTAAAAGGGCTAATAATTTTGTCCTTAAAATGGTGTTTAAAAAATTAAAAACTGCTTTTATTGTAGCCAAAATAAAACAAATAAGACTTTCTCTAGAAGAAAAAATATTATCAGACATACTGTGAAAATTTCCTTGCTCTGTTAAACATAATTTGGGAAATATTTAAAAAAGAAAAAAAATCAAAGGGGGGCTAATAATTCTGACTTCAGAATTCTGACATTTTGGGGCTACAACACCCCAAATAGTCACTTCAAAATGTACAGCACACTTTAACATGGCTAATTAACATTTCATTAAAAAAAGTTAAATAAAACAATCCTTAGTTATTACATATTTTTCTCTTTTTAGGTCGAGATATTGATAATAGGACTGAATACCTGTTATCGGAGGAACTAGGCACCAGTGGTTGTCCAGTCCGTGTTGACGACCACAGTGATGTCCTCCAATCTCCCAGCACTGAACTGACCCTCCAAACTCCAGACCATGCTGCAGCTCAAAGTGTTGACGACGTCCCTACAGCCTGTGCCACGTCCGACTGTAGTGAGGATGATGTCCTTCAAGCTGCAGTGCCATCAGTTCCTCAGGAGAAGGAGAAAACAATTTTTGGTAAGTTTGCTACCTTGACACTCATTCAGTAATTCAGTGAACATTTACAGGTTTACTTCAGTTTAGTTGGGTGTAAGGATAAATAGTTCTGTTCAATTTTATTACAGTTTGAAATAAAAAAAACAAGCAAAACTTAAAAAATGCTTGTGATTTTTGTTTACCGTTTATTACTATTAAAAAAGTAAAAGTTAGAGGACTAATAACGTGACAAAAGGTGAATTCTACATAAATCAATATACAAATAAATTAGAATATATATTAGGATTTTTCAGTCATTAAAAAAAATGGACAATAATTATTAAACCTTTGCTGCATGAATAAAAATAAAAATAAAAACTCTGCCAAATGTTATCTGACAGAAGAAAACATCAGTAACATTTACGTTTATAATGAAACATTTTTCACCTTTATTCAGAAAATGCTGAATTCTGGAACACTGTGAATATTTGGGAAGTTGTTGTACTCACTCTTGTTCATTCATGCACACAGATGTGTTTGTCAGTGCAGTGTTGCAGAAGAGCACTACTGAGCATTTACATCCAGCAGTGTCACTTTTCCCCTCAAATGTCTTTTTGTCCATATTTTGTACACACTGACTGAACTTAAAGTCCTGTACTGAAATGATTAGGTGCGAATAGTTAGACCCCTACAGTTTAGTGGGCTGTGCTTCAGACTGACTTCAATATACAGATTGTTTAAATGTTGTTGATAACTAATATTCAGCTAATTTGTCTTTAGAAAATAAAAAGTAGCTCTTAATTGGATTTAGTAGTAGTAAGTGCTGTCACATTTTATTCCCTCATCTCTGATTTCTCTTTAACAGTCATCAATTCACGCCAATATGAAGTTGGTGATGAGCTCGGTGAAGGAGGTTTTGGAACCGTCTATGCAGCGACTCGTTTGGATGATGGACTTCAGGTATGGATCTGAACAGCAATATTAATCTAGCCAATCATTTTTGTCCTGTTATTCTGGTCTCACCATTGCCTTTGCTCATAATTCTAACACATCCACTCTTTTGTTTTGTTGATCAGGTTGCAGTGAAATACTGCTCGATGTTCGACACAACGTTCATCCGCATTGTAAGAAAACTCTGTTTCTCCTCTGTTCCACAATTTTACATTTCAAACACGTCATGCTAACATTAAAGGATGAGTTCACCCATAAATAAAGTTATGTTATTAATTACTTTCCCTCATGTCAGTCCAACCCCCCGAGACCTTTATTCATCTTCAGAACACAAGTTTAAATATTTTTGATTAAATCCTAGATCAACTCTACATACAAAGCTTCAAGAACACTTTTAAGACTAAAAAACAAAGGTTTTGGTTCCTTTTCTGGACTTTGAGCATCTCATTGCTATTGATGAAGGATGAGGGATTTGTGTTGCTAAGATGAAAGAAGCTCTCAGAGTATTGAAACAACATGACGGTTTTTAATAACATAATTGGGTGAATTAATTTTTTAATCACAGACAGCAAATGATATTTTAGTAGACAATCATCTGTTTTCAATTCTTTTACCACTGATTCATCATAAAAACCTTCTTTCTTCTAGGATGGTTTTGCTCAACCACTTCCAATAGAAATTGTTCTTCAAACCCTTGTGAATCAAGGCCCAAGGGTTCCTGAAATTATTGAGCTTCTGGACTGGAAGGTGGAACGTGACTTCTACTGCATGGTCCTGGAACGGCCCATACCCTGTCAGCCCTTGAACAACTTCATAGAAAGCTATGTTGGGCCCATTGATGAAGATGACATACGGTTCATCATGAAACAGGTTGTATTCGCAGCTCAAGCTTGCTGCCAAAGAAAAGTGTTACACCGAGATATCAAGCTGGAGAACCTTCTGATCAACCCGGACACCCTTGAGGTCAAATTGATTGACTTCGGGTGCGGGGATATCCTCGAAGATGAGGCTTACACAGACTATTCTGGTACGTATAATCCCTTTAAACTGTGGTGATGACTTGAGCTCTCATGAAGTAATTCACTGTTGTGAATCAACAGAATTCTTGCTTAGTAATGAATATTCAATTAAACATGCCTTGTTAACTGAAACAAAATCTCTTTCCTCCAGGCACAGCGGAGTATCGTCCTCCTGAGTTTCTGGAGACTGGCAAATACCACGGAGAACCAGCGACAGTGTGGTCTCTCGGAATAGTCTTGTTTGTAATGCTTTTCTGGAAGTTTCCAACAAGACGAGAACTGAATACGATCATGAATAAAGACATAGAAGGCCTGTCAGAAGGTGAGATCTTCATTTCAGCACAGAACAGTTGTAATTTGAATTACCAAAAAATCAATTTCAAGGTGATCATGTCTCTCTCTTCTTTCTGCACAGAATGCTGCGATTTTATGCGCTGTTGTCTCAAGATAGACCCCAGAGAGCGGATTAAACTGGAGCGACTCAACCGCCACAGCTGGATTAAGGTAAATACATGTTAATAAATTTGAGTATTTTTGATTTGATAAGTTAGTAGACAATACGCATTAGATTTACAGTTTTATGTAAAGTTGTATATTCAGTCGTAATACACTATTTTATATTCATTCTTCATGTTCTTTTATGTCCACTTTCTTTACTTTAGGCATGTTGCCTATATTTGTTTTATGCAGGTTGTGTGATGACACTAAATATGATTTCTGTTTCTGTTTCAGACCAACGAAGAGAAGAAGAGCAGCGAAATAATGGGTCAGTTTGCTAGTTAACCCAGCACACGCATGCACACACACACTTTTATGGCAATGTCTTTATTAATGTCAATATTTAATCAGCACTCAAATGTTTTATGTGTTTTGTTTAATAATAGATGATAAATAGCACAACGGTTTTTCCACATTAGACAAGATTTCATTGTTCATTTGTTTATGTGTGTGTGTTGAATATGTATATTTTACATGAAGCATAAATATTTCTATAACTACTACAGTTCATTTAAACTGTCCTGTTTTGTGTGAATTTAAGTACAAATATTGAGTGCGTATATGAATCAGACAATAGTCTTGGATTAAATAAACTCTCTACTGATTGACATTTTATATCAACATCTTTGATTTTTCTTTTGACAGTCATCAACTCATCCTCTTATGAACTTGGCGTTCTGCTGGGTAAAGGAGGCTTTGGACTTGTTCAAGCTGCAACCCGACTAGAGGATGGCCTTCAGGTATCATCAATTTTCATCAATTATTATCTTTATCACCGCTTTAAATCAGAGTATCAGATAAAAAAATAATAGATAGATATATGATTCTTATTTTTGGGCTAAATTAAACTGCTACTTTGTTAAACTGTTCAGTGTTAATGACTGAAAATCAGCCTGATCTCAAGAGAAACTGAACTATTTTACCTTTTGTCATTTAGTGGCTAATTGGTATGAATTTATGAGTTCATTCGTGTGAAAATGTATGATTTTTAAAAGGATGCGTGGCACCAAACTCCAGCCCTAAACCAAAATGTCAACCTGGATAAGCAAATCACAAGAATGAGATTGTACAAATTCATACGAATCAGCCACTAAATTAAAAATGTGACAAATTGCCATGAGATAGCATTGGACAAATGTGAACTCTGAACACAATAATTGTGTATAATTCTATAACACATGCTTTCTTTGTTCTGTTGAGCAGGTGGCAATTAAAACTGCCTACACCGAGAACGTCAAGTTCATCGACATTGTAAGTATGCTGTGCTCTTCAACTCTCATTCACTGTTTCACTTTAAGTATCTATAAATCACTAGACAAACTGTAATTGTCATCATGTTTTACACAATATCCATCCAATCATCATAACAAATATATTTCTTCCAGGACGGCTATCCGGAATCACTTCCAATGGAGGTTGCTCTTTTAGTTCTTGCAAACCAAGAGCCCGCAATACAGGAAATAATTAAGCTTTTGGACTGGCGCGTGGATGAGGACGAGTACATCATGGTCCTAGAGCGGCCCATGCCCTCTGAAGAGCTGCTCTCCTTTCTCCTGCGCCAAGAGTCGATCATCGATGAGGATGGGGCACGGTTGATCATGTGGCAGGTAATATTTGCAGCTCAAACGTGCTGCAGACGCAAAGTCTTTCATCGCGATATCAAGATGGAGAACATCCTGATCAACCCGGACACCCTCGAAATCAAATTGATCGACTTTGGATGCGGGGAAATCCTCACCGATGCTCCTTACACAAGTTTTGCTGGTATGTATGATCCCTTAAACTGTGAAGTGAGTCTCAAACTGTAGTGATGAACTCACAATAGACTCTGAGCGAGTCAAGCTCTCACATAGCATCATAGAATGGAGTCCACTAATCGATTAATACTGTCGATCTGGTGACTAATGACTAATGGTTAAAACCTCTCTCATTCAGGCACAGATGACTATGTCCCACCTGAGTATCGGATAACTGGCGAGTACCACGGTAAAACAACGACAGTGTGGTCTCTTGGGCTACTCCTTTATGTGATGATGTGTGGAGATTTTCCAAATCGACACGACCTGCAAATGATCAGACGTAACATCTGGACCAAAGATCACTTGACAAAAGGTAAAATCTCTATTTGGGTCAAGGAAAGAGGTCAATCTGAATAATACAAACTATTATTTATTAATTAGGTTGTGGAGTAAATATGAGCTCTCTCTCTTCTTTCTGCACAGAATGCTGTGATTTGATCCGCTGCTGTCTCCAGATCGAGCCAGAGCAGCGAATTGAACTTGAGAAACTGAGTCTCCATGACTGGTTTAGGGTATTATTTACATTCTGAACATTCTTTAATATTTGCACTCTTTTTTATCTTCCTAAATTTTCATAATTGTTTAAAAATCTTTTTTAGATGTTCTTTGGTTAATAATGCATTAAATAGCAGACCTCAATTTTGTTTTTGTTTCAGCCTGAAGACCTGGAAAGACCTGCACCCGAGAACCGCATCGTCCATCAGCAGTCAGAGGATCCCTCATTTTTTAATATTCCCTTCTTTTTACTTGTTAGTTTATTCTTTAGATATTATTGTATATTTTAGTATGACTGATGATAGTAGTTTAAAAAAACATAAACACAAAAAAATGGAAGTTGTAGCCAGCCATGACAGCAACCCTGTGCCACCTCAAGACCAGAAATCTTCAAGACCCCAGGGTGTAAGAGTTGAATAGACATGATGATCCATCAGCTGTCTTGGCATCCCCTATTGTTTTATTGTATTTTTTTATAATGTTCTTTTTTCATTATATATTTTATTTTATTTACACTACTGACAGCAGTGCAAGTTTTTTCATCATCACTGTTTTGTTTTTGTTAAGATGGTTTTGTTAAATTATTTTGTATAAGGAAACTGTATGTTTATTGTTCACTGTAGTGTAATGTTTACTGTTCTATTGTATGTAAAAATAATTGTTCAATAAAAAAAATTGTATTGAGGAATAGCATTCCCATTTCTTTCATTGTCACTCTTTTTTTACTACTTTCCCCTTATATATAATATTACTACTAATGACATCTTGCCCTGCTTTCTAAATCTCCTAAAATGTCCAGGATTTGTATTATGCTTCTAAAGTTGATGTTAATTGCATATGTTTTTGCATTACCTTTTAATTTACACCTACTTTAGCTTGGCATTGCAAATGACAGTGCGTGCACAGCTGCAAGAGTGAGATAAACATTACATAATTCAATCTTTAATAAATTACATTTTATTAAAAGAAACATTACTATATACTTCACAAAATGACATCTAAAACTGGCTGCAGAATATTTGTACACTGTTAGTAATGGTAAATCAACTCATTTGCCTTATTTTGTAAATATCAGTGTAGCCACTAATGTGCTTTGGTTAAGTCACATGACATGCTGTGTTTTTCTGTAGCGTGATTTCTAACAGACTGGTGTTTATTGTGAGTAGTTGCTAAATGCAAATGTAAACGTCAATAAGGATCAAATTATGTCAGATCCTCAAAAAAATATAAAACTTCACCGCCAGTATGTCATGATGACTTATTCACAACTCACACTTCAAGTTAAGAAAAAAGAAAAACAGTCAAATATTTTTCCAAAGATTTATCATAATGTGTGCGGTAGAGGGTTAAATTATCACATTTAAAACAAGAGAAGCAGATCGGTTTGACTATACCAAATATCTCAAGCTCGCGTTGCTAAAACATTTGCCGTCGGTATGAAGAGGAATGATCTGCCCTCTATGCTGCAGGTTTGAGAGACGGCAGCTGTGTGGCACTGTGCCACCTTGAGTGCTCTAAGGCGTGGAAGGGACCAATAGAATCTGGATGCAGCCTTCCCCTACTGAAAAAACAGCTTAAACCAGCCTAGACTGGTTGGCTGGTTTTAGCTGGTCAACCAGGCTGGTTTTAGCTGGTCAACCAGGCTGGTTTTAGAGGGGTTTTGGTCGTTTCCAGCCTGGTCTTATAGCTGGTCAGGCTGGGAGATGACCAGCTAAAACCAGCTTGACCAGCCTAGCCAGGCTGGGGAGCCCAGCCAAAACCAGCTATGTCCAGCTTAAACCAGGCTGGTCAAGCTGGTTTTAGCTTGTCATTTTCCAGCCTGACCAGCTATAAGACCAGGCTGGAAATGGCTGGAAACCGGCCTGGAAATTGAAAAAAAAAAAACTCTAAAACCAGCCTGGTCGACCAGCTAAAATCAGCCAACCAGCCTAGGCTGGTTTAAGCTTGGTTTTTCAGCAGGGTTATGATGCAAGCTGATCAAAGAGAACGATGGCATCCCCCGCAGCTAGTCACGAGTCACTGACACAGGAGTCTTTAAAAATCTTCAGTAACACCTAAAAACATTCGCTAGTTGCTTTTTTGAAAATTTGGCACTAAGGGGAGTCAATAGTTAATAGGTTTGCAACAGTGGCTGGCAGTGTATTTGATTGAAGCACTGAATTCCCCAGGGCCCTAAGTGGTTGCTTACCTCGCTTATTGGTTTAGTGCGCCCCTGCCTATAGCTATAAGCTTAAGAATTGTAATTGAGTGTTTACTTCACGAATCCAACTGCTGAATGATGTCTGTGATGCCTACTGTTCCCCCATCCTGTTATTTTTATTGAATAGGCTGTTCTATTATCTGTTTCTATTCTGTTGTTAAAAAAAAAATAGGTCACAAATAAGGCCACTGAAAACTCTTATTTTACTCGAGAACCCTTAATTACTTCCTATTAAGATTTTTAAAATAACTTGCCAAAATCTTGTGCAAGCACAACTTGTGATCATTGCCTCTATATGATGACTTCATTTAAATCACAGGTGTCAAACAGTTTTAAAAGCATGTGGTATAGGTGAATTGAAGAAACTAAAATGGCAATAAAGAATCAATGTGTGTTTGAATGACAGTGTATGGGTGTTTCCCAGTGCTGGGTTGGGGCTGGAAGGGCAACTGCTGCATAAAAAAATATGACAGAGCAATTGGCGGTTCATTCTGCTGCGGTGACCCATTATAACTAATAAAAACGGTGTTGAAACCAGCAAGACCAGCATTGAGACCAGCAGTAAACACTGAGACCAACATTGAAGCCGGCATTGAAACCAGCATTGGAGCCAGCAAGACTACCAGCAATGAGGCTAGCATTGAGGCCAGCATTGAGACCAGCATTGAAGCCGGGATTGACGCCAGCATTGAAGCCAGCATTGGGACCAGCATTGAAGCCAGCATTAAATTCAGCATTGAGACCAACATTGAGGCCAGTATTTAGACCAGCATTGAAGCCAGTATGACGACCAGCATTAAGACCAACAATGAGCCTAGCATTGAGGTCAGCATGGGGAGGTCTCCACACCACCACCAGTGTGCAGAATCCACTTGGATGATGTGACGGCAGCCACAGGATAACGGCGCCAGTGCGCTAACCACACACCAGCTATAGGTGGATTTGAGAGACAGTGATAGAGCCAATTTGATACATGCACTCCTACACTAAATAGAAATGCTTCTTTAAATGTGCAGTATGTAGGACTGACACCAAGTGGTTAAACAAGGTATTGCACTGCAAATTCAATATCGAGCCTACACTGTGCCTAAGTGCAACGACATGCAATAAAAAAAATTTTTTGCTTAAAAGGAGATTAATTGATTATTCTTTTATTTATCCGCAATAGCAACACCCCAAATTTCTATTTTAGAAACCGTTTCTTTTTCTGCGACGTTGCAGCTGAACAACAGCATACCTCAGGTACTGATCATGTGCTTTATTGAGTGTAAAATGCTACCAATGCAAGTTGAGTATCATTTTACCGGACATTTATTGCCATACACGATTTCTACATAAATACATTATGACTAATTTAACTAAAAACAATTTATAGATTACTTAATATGAAATGTTCATTTGTTGCTCATGCAGTAATCATTAATAAAGTTATTCATTATTTATACATTCCCAGCGTTATTTAATGCATATTAGTTTGTATTGTAAAGTGTGGTGATTGTTTCTTTAAACTACCAGACTGACCAGACATGCATGGTTTTAAATTCAGAGTACTGTTAACACAGTCTGTGAGAATTAACTAAAATGGTATTATTCTTGTCTTTGTGAAGTGAGACTGTCAGGCATCTTTAAAATTTGCCAGTAAGTCTGAATCCATCAATATTGTAAGAAGGCCACAGAGACATTCAGAAGAAAAACATATTAGTGAACATTGACACCCTGGATGTGACTGATAGTTCCAATAATATTGGCAGGTGTAACACAGTGTTACAGATTTTCCAGTGTTCTGAAATGTTTTGTTTTTAATTAAACACACATGAACCAGCTAATGCCTATGTGCTACAGCTAACCATGTGTTAATTATTGCTGCACTCACCTCTCTGACGATAGGGCTACACTCACCCCTCTGACGATAGGGCTGAACTTTCAACACTAGGCTTTTTCGTTCTCTCATTTTTCTTCCTCTTTGTTTCTTTATTTATTTTTGCTATAAGCACATGAAAAGCTACACACTGTACATGACATTGGAGTAAATGGTGCTACATTCAGGTCTGCTCATGGACACAAGGGGACGCTCTTTCTCTTTTCGACAATAAAGTTTGCTTCTAGGCTCCAGTCTAGCCCTATTTATAGTCCATGCTCATTTCATAGATGTGCAAATGTGGGTCACAAGTTCAAAGATGAATGATAATGTAAGTAGAGTGAGCATCCACTGGAAATATTGATAATGAAGTTAAAGATTTACTAGATTTGTGAATCATCTGTCTTATCCCAGGTCACTGATCTGAAGAAATATATATGAAATGTATCAACAACAAAGTGTACTGTTTGTTTAGATTTGTAAGAAACCAGTCCTTCCAAAAACATGTTGACGGAAAAGATCTTAAATATGCCATTTGTGATACGTCTTATATAAGTCTGAGAAGCAGAGCAGGAGTGGGTGGATAACTATGAATTAAATATACAGTCTTACACAATACTACCACATGCACTTCTGTTTGCATTAAATGCAATTCAGTAAATCAAAACTAATAACAAAAATGATTAAAACTTTTCAGTATTGAAAAAGAATAGAAACATTTATTTATTATTATTTTACAATTATTAAATTATTATTATTATTATTACAATTAATTATTAATCACAAATAGTTAAATATTGCATGTATAACTAACAGAAAGGATGGACTGATGATATAGAAATATCCTGGAAAAATGCCAGTTTCACTTTTTTCGTTGTAAAGAACAATGGCATAATTTTACCATACTTCGACAGCATAATCATGTATATAAAAAAGAAAATCAAACACAGAAAGTCTAAAAATCCTTTTGTATGAGGAACTACTTTCTTCCACTGTTTATGCAGCTGAGGTCAGAACACCAAAGAACGTTGCTACTTCACACACATCACTTAAGAGCTTGTATTTGTATGATTCACTAGCATAATATCTAAA